GCGTCAAAGTGGCAGCTCCCAAGGAGGAGGAAGCACATCCTCCTCGCCGGGAGCCGGTCAAGGTCAAATTCCCCGACTCCTACAGCAGGAAGAGGGAAGAGAACTTTGACAATTGGGAGGCCAGCGTTAAGACCTAATTGCACTTGCAACAGGTCTCCCCGGATCAGCATGTCTTGATTGCGATCCACGCGCTCAGAGACGAAGCTGCCAGCTTTGCAAGGTCCCTAGTCCGCGCCGCCAACTGCAACGATGATGCAGTTGCCTATTCGTCATTCACCTCCCTCGCTGAGTTCATGAAATTGTTGCGCRAGMGATTTGCTRATGTCGCTCGAAGTGTCAMAGCCTCGGACAAGCTTCAGACGATCCATGCCCGTAAGTGGAAGAGTGYYARGGCACTCAAGAGCACAATGGACGAACTAGTAGCTGTCCCTGACCACGGGGTTACAGACACCYAGTTGGTTGCTCTCTTCTATAGAGCGATGCCCGAAGCTTTTCGCGGGCACTTCTTCGCGAAGAGCGAAGACCCTGCCACCACTTACGATTCCCTTAGTCGTGAGGTGKTGGCTTTCGAGGCMAAGTCTATGTCARTTTCCACCTTCWGGCACAAGGACTTGGACAAGGGTAAGCAATGGAAGGGCCGCACTATCTCAGGGCAAGTGAAGACTAAGGATAGTCTTGTCCTGACCTTAGATGAGGGCAGTGTGGATGAGATCCCCTACGAACAGATCGAGTGGGGGTTAGAGGAGGACAGCGGTGTGGGCCAGGGGAGGACTTACGCTGCTATCGCGGCTGGAGGGAGGCCGCAAGGAGGAAGAGGCCAGGGCCAAGGGGGCCGGGCCTCAGGGAGCCGGTTCCAGGGCGATCAGGGGGTTGGCGGCAGAGGAGGAAACCGCCAAGCGGGAGGCAGGGGTCAAGATCCCTCGCAAAACCGTCCTAGGAATAGGTCTCCCTATAGAGTAGGAGGATGGCACCCAGGGGTACCTCAGGGTAGGCCTTGGGAATCTTTGGGTTTGGACCAGGCTTTATGGCAACAACGATTGGACCGGGGCCAGTGCATTTTCTGCGGTGACCCGGGCCATATCATCAAATACTGTCCTAAGYATMGMGAGACCCGAACGGCTGCCCAAGGGCCAAAAGGCAGCCGCCGATAGGGGTAGCAACTGCCCCTACCATTAGGCCATGTGGGGAACAYAGCGCTAGCCGGCAGGAGACTCCCACACCACATGTGCCTATGGCARAGGTTGCAGGCCGGTGTCTCGATGGCTGTCCATAGACTGCTTGTGTTAGAGTCTCTCTAGACACCTCCCTCACAGGCGTGGCCGAAGAGTTGAAGGAGAGGATGCCCGCCTGGGCCAAGATGAAGAAAGAACAGAAAGGGCAGCTAATTCTGGTAGATGTAGAGATTTTTAGAGGTAGGGTAGGGGCCCTAGTAGATTCAGGGGCTACCCGCAGCTATATTAGTAGGAAGGCGCTGCAGAAGTTGAAGCTGGGACTTAAGGTCCAAAAGCTAGTAGACCCTATAGTTAGTATCCTCGCAGACAACCGTATGATGGTTGTGGAGGAGTATGTAGAGGGAGTCCAGGCGTATTTCAGCCTAGAGAAGAATGGGAAACTGGAGAAGGTCCTCCACTCCCTGACTCTCCTCGTAGAAGACAGCCTCCCATTCAACATTGTCCTGGGGATGGATTGGGGAGGCAGCCGGGGCCACGCTCCATTTGAAGGAGCATGAGTGTAGGCTCCCTAGTTCGTCAGGCGAGGCTAAGATTGCCCGCCTGTTCCATGTGTCCGGGGTAGAGAATTCCTTGGCACATTGTTGCCTTAGTGCCCCCGCATTCGCCAGATTGGTGAAAAAGGAGAAACTAGAGGAACAGGTTTTTGTCGCCTATGTCAGGCCAGTGACTGAGCCTACGGAAGAGAAGCCGATGGACCTTGCGATTGCCAAGCTGCTGGAAGAGAAGCCGATTTGACTGAGTCGCCGACAGGCACGGTGCCGCGGCCCATCCAGCACCGTATCGAGATAGAGCCTGGCAGTAGAACTCCTAGGGTGCTGTGTATAGGATGTCCCCGCGGGAGTTAGAGGAGCTTCGCAAGCAATTAGACGAGCTCCTTGAGAAGGGTTGGATTAGGCCCAGTTCGTCTCCTTTCGGAACGCCTGTTCTCTTTGTTCCTAAGAAAGAGGGAGAGCTGAGAATGTGCATAGACTATAGGGGTCTGAATGCCATTACAGTAAAGAATGCTGAGCCATTGCCTAGGATACGCAATCTCTTAGATCGAGTGCAGGGGGCGAAGTATTTTTCCAAGATAGATTTGAAGTTCGGATATCATCAGATAGAGGTGCATCCTGATGATCAGTATAAGACAGCCTTCGGGACTAGATATGGGCACTACGAGTTCATAGTGATGCCCTTTGGACTAACCAATGCGCCAGCTACGTTCCAGCGCTGTATGAACGATTTGTTTAGGCCGTGGTTAGATAGATTTGTTGTAGTTTATCCAGATGACATCCTAGTGTCTAGCCGGACCCTCGAAGAGCATCAGGGTCATCTCAGGCAAGTCTTGGAGAAGCAGAGAGAAGCTAACTTCAAGATCAATGCAAAGAAGTGCGATTGGGCGAAGACCCAAGTTTTGTATCTAGGCCACGTCTTAGAYGGAGACGGCGTTAAGCCAGAAGATAGCAAGATCGCAGCGATTAGAGATTGGCCCACGCCACGTACGCTGACAGAGTTGCGCTCGTTCCTGGGCTTAGCGAATTACTACAGGAAGTTCGTGAGGAACTTCTCCACTATCGCTGCGCCCCTTCGCAGATTGCTGAGAAAAGAGACAATCTGGAAGTGGGACAAGGACTGCACATCTGCCATGAAGAAGCTAAAGCAGGCATTGATAGAGTATCCGGTCCTTAAGGTCGCCGATCCATCCTTGCCTTTTGTCGTTACTACGAATGCTAGCCAGTACGGCATAGGCGCAGTGTTACAGCAAGACGATGGCAATGGCTATAGACCCGTAGAGTTCATGTCCGCTAGGATGCCTTCAGAGAAGGTTGCGACATCTACCTATGAGAGGGAACTCTACTCTCTCAAGCAAGCATTAGACCACTGGAAGCACTACGTGCTTGGGAGGCACTTCAAAGTCTATTTGGACCATGAAACGTTACGATGGTTAAAGACCCAGGCCAAGATGACACCTAAGCTTACTAGGTGGGCCGCAGAGATAGATCAGTACGACTTCGAGCTCAAGCCTGTCAAAGGGAAG